CAATCTCAATTGGAAAAATATCCAATGATCTATCTATGATTTATCGTAAAATGAGAAAATGATCATGCCATATCCTTCAATTTGTGTTTGACGAAAATCAATACAAAACGACCAAAGAAGACATTTTGACTCGCATTTTGAGCAGCTATGTACTTCGAAATGAGCCAAAATAAAGTGAATTTGGTAGATTATGCTTTTGTGACGTTTTACACTCTATTCGCTATTTTGATATGATTCCATTTGTTTGTTTGTTCTTGAATTGGGGAAATTCGCGCAGAATATTGAAGCTTATCCATCACTTCTCCTTTGTAATTGAAAATTGAAAATGATTTATCGATATGTATGTCCTAGTGCGTGTCAATTGTCAATATGGAGGGAAAATACATTCAGCAGCTTTTGCCGGTACTTGCATAATTAAAAAACACATAAATAAGGCGATAAATAAAATACTTCCTGATTTCTTCTTTAGTTTAATACACAAAGTCGAGCTGTTCACACCATTTCTTTGTGATGAACGCTAGTTTGAAGGAGAACCATCTACATAAAAGAATCACTTCTTATTATCAATGAAGGCACCATACCAAATAATTAGTCTAGTATCAGTTTCCTTGGTTTATTTTACGTTTCGTGGACTACTTTTGCTATTGTCTATTCGTATGTCTTTGGAAATAAAAAGTGAGTGTTAAATTGTGAAAGTGTTTTTATAACTATAACAGTCACTTCTGCTGTTTAAAATATGTATGTTTTGTTTTGCGATCAAAATTGTAACGCTGTAGACATCTGCCATTTTCAGGAGATATTTTCAGCATAAAAAGCGTATAAATATCCAGCGTAATCCATTGGTCTACTCTGTTAAGTTTTAAAATGATTTTTGCTTTTTACCTATTTTTTTAGATTCTCGAGCCCAATCCATACATAACATATTTTTCATTTTGGAAAATTATTTTCCCTGAAAATAAGGGTTTTCCTAAGAATTTGGGAATTTGAAGACATTGATTATACGATTGAATAATGTATAATTTGTGCCAGACCGCTCTCTTTAGAGACTAAATGCGTTAATGGTTTTGCTTTTGGTGCATGCTACTCTTGACCGCAAAATTTATCTACTTTAATTCTTTTATCCTCGAAAATTTTAATGAATTACCATTAAATGCATATTTTATAATTGAACCGGCTAGAATATTCGTGACCTCAAGAAATTTGTCGAAATAAAACTGTAAAGTGCCCATACATTTTTTATAAAAACATGTTGCTATTTTATTTCAACAAATTTCCTGAGCTCAAGCATATTCTAACCGATTCAATTGATCTCCTTGGTGGCATTTGTTTCGTGCTTTTAAGAAAATTCACATTAGTGTTTGTTTGATACAAGGGATCAAACCGTTGTTGTGCTTGGATTTTCATAGACGCAATTGTTGCATATAAGCGGCATCATAAACCATTCTAAATGTATTTCATTAATGCATTCTGTTGAAGTCTATTGGTTAAACAGAGCTTTTGTGTGTTCGGAGATGGATGAGTTTCATTTTGCATGAAATACAATTCGAAAATGAAAAACATCCAGTGAAACCGAAAGAGATGATAATATTTCTTTACCGAACAATTTTTGTTTAAGAAAATTCTCTCAATACAATTGCTATATTTTTAACTCGAAAATGTAAGTGATTTTATTTGTTGAGCTTTGAAATTTAGATGTTAAAAATGATTTTATGCTGAACATTTGCACGGGAAAAAATATTATAATATATCTTGTGTTGCCAGTGAAAGACTTACCAAATTTTTATCTATTTCAGATTTCAATTTTCTTCCTGAGCCAGTCAAGCATTTTTCAGCTCTCATATTATTACGATTGAGAAAGCGGATGAAGACGTTGTTTTACAAATACATCACATTTAAACTCAACGAATATTTCAACGAGACAAATGTACGCTTCAATTACACAATAAAAAATTTCGAAAAGTGAAAAAATAAACTTTCGTTCTTTTGACAGATTGGTCAAATGGATGTTGCAAGCCACTTAGAAGACGGCAGCTTACATACAGAGTCGCCTTTGCCAACGAAAAAGTATATAAAACTTTTGAAAGATCTTGATTTTGTTTTGATGCAATTTTTTGAGTTCTCAATACGTTAAAAAATGTAAGATTCTTAGTGATAGCTGTACTTTAACATGTGATAAGTTTTCATTATTTGGCGTCAAATGTAATCAATTATTCGCATTTTTCGGATATAATGGTGAAAAATAAATTACGCCTGAACCTGAAATTATGAATTTGATCGTTGAAACAAACAACCGAAACTTACCGAAAATGTTCAATTATTTATGATTTAAAATATTACAGTCGATGTGTAGTACTACACTTGATATAAAATATACATAATCTTATACAGTGAAATATACTGAACATAATTTATTATTTAACCAAAAAAAAAAACAATGTTTTTCAAAAAAAATGAAATGTATGTGATAATATGTATATTTAGTGATTTTGGTCGCAAATTAATCCCACAGCTGTTGGCTCCATCAAAGTTGGTTCGAAGCATCGATGAACGGCCGAGCCCAGTATTTCGTCTAACAAATAATGCATAATATTTTCATCGGCCACAAATCGCCACAGATTCATTTGCAAATAGTGTGCATCAACTTGAATCTGTTGCAATCCATATTTGCTAAATGTTCGAAGGCGAACGCATTCCAAAAGGGTTTTTAAGCTCAATTTTATGATACCCGTTAAAATTGATATTTTTGTAAACTGTACCGATCCAAAAATGTCGATTTTATCGGAGAAAAGACGATGCATGTTCGTAATGAGCATCGGTTCAGACGTACAATTTGACCAATTCGAACGATGTTGTTTCGAAGCGGAGATGCTGAAATGTGTTTTACGACTTGAATCGCTGCTAGCCGCAGTCTGTGCTCCCAATTCGTATAAATCGCATAAAACGGCATCGATCAATGACAATTCCTCAACGACACGCTTCATAACTGCTCTAACTGATCTTGGCTCCAAGCAATTTAACCAATCACGAGTTTCGACACTCTTTCTCAGCATTTGTGAAATGTTCAATCCCTGTAATCGCACATACGAATCAAGTAGAATTTGTGCCGATTTTCGCATATTCGCATACATGTCATTTTCATGGGTCAACGATGGATTTGCAATTGGATCGATGCCGTACATTTCATCCACAAACATAATAATTTTTTTCACACCAATCTGCTCCATTTCTAGGCACATTTTCGAAAACACCAACAGCAAATTGGGTGGACAAGCCAAACTAGTATCACCATAAGATATCATCGTGGCAGCAATGTGATTCAAAAATCCAATGACCAAATTTTCTCGAAATCCTTCGATGCATTGTACACCTTTCGGATGTGATTTTATCTTGAATTTCCATTCGGGTTTTATGAAAATCAACAAATCATGAATGACTACTTTGATTTTTTCATTCGTTGTCACATACAGCCGGTTAACCAGTTCCATTAAATCAGATGAGACTGTTGCTTGGGTGCTGTCACTTTTATTACCCGTTACCAGTGCCAAACGAATCGAACTCAAGCTATCCGAAAATGCTTCTTTCAGTTTCTTCAAATGAAAATTGCACAATTGATTTGCCGCATTCACAATTATTTCAACAATCATTGTGGACATATCGATGTCACATGTCAAATGCTTCATTCCATGTAATTTCTCATGCAAACGATCGAGTGCGCTCAATAAAACATTGTAATCACCATGACCGGTCTCGACTTCAACACGAACCTGTACCAATGCCGAAAATTTCTCCAAATTTTTCGCAACAAATGCATTCAGTTCATCATATTGAATGCTGTAATTTGCATTTGACGGTGAGCTTAGAAACATTTCGGTGTATGAGCTTATAATTAAAATTAAATCGTTAATGAATCCTTTGATGCTCAAATCGACAAATTCAATCATATTGCCATCGGTTTGATCTTGCAGAATGACAATTTGCTCGTGAAGTCTTTGGGTGGCAAACTGAAGTATTTCACGCGATAGATCTGATGGTTTTTCACCCAGTTGCAAGAGCAAGTCACCAGTTTCAATCATTGCTTTTGCAGTGAATCCGGACAATTGAATGTTAATTTTCAATTTTGATTTTAAATCGTCCATTATCAATTGACAGTCGTCACGAATGCCCTGAAACGATGGCTGATAACCGTATTGTTCGAGCACAGCAAGCGCTTCGCAATGATTTTTTACAGCTAATCCATAGTTACCGTCATCAATTAACGTTTTCAGTTTCGTTGGTAACGACGACAAAAACTGCAGCTTTTGCAGTAGCAATTGTTTCTCGGATAGTGTACTCAATTGTTGACGACTATCTTGCAATTTTGACGATATCTGATCACTGAATTCAGTTATTGACTTAACATTCGATACTAAGAGATTCATTTCGGTTTCCATCTGCTTAAATTCCGTTTTCATTTTACGCATTGTATCCGTCGCAGAGATGAACTAAAACACCAAATACTTATGATTACATTACGAAAAACAAAATGTACAAAGAACATAAACATACCTTATTGTAATTTTCATAAACCAATGTTTGCATATCACTATGAAGTGATTGGGTGTCCCGGATAATGGCCGTTTCAACATTCATTACATCTTTTAATGAGTACTCTTTCAGAATTTTGTTTACATATGCCTCCGAATCAAAAGTCGATCCATCCATATCGTACACATTTTTTGTGCTTTCTTCACTCATTTTTTTTGTGATTGCCTAAAGCAATTGAATTTCGTTTTATTATGGTAAAAACCACTCAGATAATTTTTTTAATATAACAAAATGTACAAATATACTTACCAATTTTTACTACACAAACATCACAATTTTCAGGAATTTATTTTGTTTTGATGACATATATTTCGAAATGTCAAATGTCAGTGCCAAGTCATTTTCGCGAGTGCCATCTATTTGTCAGTTGTTAAAACAGAATCTAGTACAATATCCGCGCGGATAATTTGAAACAATAAACGAAACTTGCGTTTTTATAGAAACGTAATTTTAACAAATCTTATGGCCTCTCATGTCATGCAAAATTAAGAAATTCTCAATTTATTAAAGAAAAAAAATGAAATAAAAAAACTAACATCGAGAATTTTGATAAGTAATAACGTTTATTGCAATCAATAATATCATAATGCGAATTTTAAATGTAATTAAGATTATTTCATTTATTTTGCCAAAAATTGCAGAATGAATTTCCCGTCTCTGTTTCGATTCGATTACATAAATCTGTATTTGACTTGTACGCGTAACATTCTGGAATTATTCCTCATCGTTCGAGAGTGTGTGTGTGTGTGTTTGTTGTATGAGTTGACCGCGGTGCAATTTTAACCATTTATTTCTAACGGTGTGATGCTATGACATGCTATTTGATGTGTTTCTATGTGTCTGTGTGTCGGTTTTTGTCTGGTTTAAACACTCTAATTCTTAAATTCTGTTTTCTTTATGATTAAACATAACATTTTGCTAAGCTCTCTCGGTTTCCTTATATATTTTTTTGTATATCAGCTACCATATATTCATAAATATTCTCTTGTATGTATGTAATATTTTTCGAAATAAATATTTTGGTCGTTTTTTTAATTTTTCTTCTTTTTTTATCATTTCAGTGTGTGTTTCACTACATAAACACATGAACTGGATATCGATTCATTGATTTTCATTTTATGGTAATATTCATCAATTTTTTTTGCATCAGGTTGCTATTATTTGTGTAGCTAGCGAAAAAAAACACGAAAGGTTCGAAGTCAATCCAAGCAAGCTGGCGTAAATCACACCGGGTTTGATATACTTTTTGTTTATATTATGAATTTTTGCAAAAAACATTTAAAAATGGTTAATTTTTCAATCGTCACCGGTTTGGTTCATTCTTATAAAAATGATTGGGAAAAAAGCGATTCGAAATATATATCGCTCGAATTTAATGTTGTCTCAAAATTTTTGATAAAAGCACAAAAGAAGTGTCTAATTAAAATTTAATTGTTATGTTTAAAAAATGTTTTGGATTGTTTTCACACTTATAATATTTTGAAATATAAAATCGTGAATAATAATGTATAAATCTATTCAAAAAAGGTTTAATTTGATTGTTTTATTAATTTCAGTGTATGTTGAAGCCTGATCAAATCACGTGGGTGAGATACATTATTAGTTTTCTATCATTCCATCTTTTATGCATCATTCATCGCAAAAAAGTGCTCTTTTAAATTCTATCACATGAGGGACCAGCCCGAAAAACAATCAATACCATTTAATATATTTATAAGACGCGCGTGTGTGTGTTTGTTGTGGAATTTAACAAGCATGTCAGAAACATCGAGAAGTGAAATGACTACATACTTTATTAGCTGTTGGAAAGAGGGTGAATGTAATATAAAACCTATAGGTAGGTGCATGTGCATTTATTGCATGATGCTTTTCGCAGTTTAATATTACAGATTAGTATTTGCGATGGAAAATTCTTGAAATTCACTTTGGAAAATCTTCGCATCGTTTTGCATTTCTTTTTTGTGTTCATCATCTTTAAGCTGAACTCGATCCAATTATAATATTGAAATAATGATTATCAAGATTTGAAGAGTTCTTCAAGTATTCATTAATTTTCAACGAACTTTAAAATTGTTGTTCGACCTTCAGATGAAAGAATCAGCAGAAAAAAACGGAAGTATTCTTTGATTTGATGTGAAGTTACTTCGCAATAAAATGTATTTGGAATTTTTCAGCTCATGAGAAAAGAATGTTTTCATGCTTGTACTTTTATGTAAAATGCATAAGTGTAACACGAATATTAATTTCACCTGCAAATGTTTTTACGTATTTATTTTTTGAAGCATTTCGCTGTTAGTGTAAGAAGCATTCATTTCGCCAGTATCCTTCATTCAGTGTTAAATGGTGGATGATTGTTTATACAGCTAGCTTTTCAGCGCATTAAATCATTTACTGTGTGTATACGCACTGTAAAAATTTCACACCAAAAACAATTACTCAAACATTCCGTTGGGTTATCGCTCAAGTTCAACAAGCCATATATACTCATTGTACACATTGTGTAACAAAACAACGATTATTTACTATGTTTTCTGTATCAGCATAGCTATTATTTATGGTGGAGTTTTATGTGTTTTTTTCATTTCTTTTTTCCAATTTAAATTTTAGATGCAATTTATATTTTTTTTTTTTTTGCTTAAATGTTTATTCTGTAATCACTTTCATAAGACATAGATAAATATCAAGCATTTTCATTACATTCTCTAGTTAACTAAAACTTATCATCTAAATGATCGCATCATTTACCATCTGTCACCGTATTCGTATTTTGTTATGCTAAATATAGTACTACAATTTTTTTTTCTGGTTCTAAACTCTTAAGTAACAGTGACCAGTTATAATAATAATTAGTAGGATAATTATATTGTTAATGTTGAATTTTAGCATAATAATTTTATATATTCTTAATCAACATCATCAGGATGTTTTCTTCATTTGTGTATGTTTTGTTTTATGTTGGAGATTCTGTTCATGTGTTTATGTGGATTAGTGTATTGAACAAGGATGTGTGGATTTTGTTGTGATGGTATATATGTCCATGTCAATGGGTCAAAATCATTTATCTGGTATCTTCGTCGCCTTCTGAATTACTTCGGATTGTGTTGTACTGTGAATTTCGACTTCGTAGCATTCGCAGAAATGAACCAACAGCAAATATGGTGCGTCGGTGACGATGAAAGATTCCCTGATACAATGCATCCCTATGTTGAATCATGCAATCAAAGTCAGTCGAATAATTGAAAATTGATGTGGATTGAGAAAATAAAACACTTTTGTCAAATATGATAAATTACCTTAGAGCTTTGCGATCTTCAACAACCTCGACCTGTGACACAAAATAATAATGCATTAATCTTCATTTCAATTAATTAAATAATATTATTTACCTGTGATGTAATCGACGACTGATGCGATATTGTTGATCGGGTTCCAATTCCACTTCGGCCGCCTGCAAAAGGTGGAAATGTATAAGATGACATTCAAATGTTACTACGTAATATAATTAAAATCGATATATGTCATTTTAACAGTAATTTTATCCAAAACTCTTGAACATTTCAATGATATGTGGATATGTTCTTCAATTTTCTTCTTTTTTTCTTCTTTTCTTTTACCCAAGGTTGAAAAAGGAAAATACCCATGGAAATGATTCGGTTGCTGTATTTCACCGTGATTATTATTGAAGCCGTATTAAATGCAATGGCATTACAATCGATGCGGTGGACTGTGTAAGTACTAGAGTTATAATTTTACAAATTCGTTCATACACAATTACAGATAAAAACCAATGTTAATTACGTAATATCCATTTTACGGCACGCATATACACATACGGAACAAAAAAAACAAATCGAGTAAACAGACGATTGCTATTTGTTCCGTTGTGAAGTCGATTGTTTCCGTTGGGGATTTGCATTTGATGTCAGTGAGCCATAAACAAATGTCGTAATTTTTGTGTGTACCTATATCGATTTGACGTCATTCTCTCTATCAAACATCAATTGAAATCAGATGATATTTGTTACAGACTTTCTGTCGTAATTCGGTCGATTCAAGTGAATACAAAAACAACAAAAGCAATGAACGATTGCAATATTAGATGATTACGTACTAAAACATCGTTATGTCTGCAAATATTACTGCAGAGACGCTCTCGTTACCGACTATATTATGTGTTTGTTTTCATTCAATTTTCTGACGTAGATTGAACACTGAAATGGATCGATACACATTAATAAAGATCCAATTCAAAGTAAACACAAGAACGAAGGCAAATAAATATCGCTGTGAACACAGAGAGAGAGCAAAAAAAGGCATGGTCGAAACGCATCTGGAACGGAATTGCGACGAAAACCTGAATGAAAGAAACAAAACTGAAACAAGCACCGCACTGATGACGGAAATTCACTTGTTGCCATTTATTTGATATTCGACTGCAATTACTCTTGTTGGCGCTTTGATTGTGATTGGTTTGTGATTGTGTGTTTTCTTGCATTGACTACAAGAAGAAGAGAAAAAACGAGAATGAGTAGCCCTTTCTCATACATCATATATTTGCTACTGCCATCGCTACTGTGTATATGGCTACGTTTGTGGCATGCATTCATAGGGAGCTCGCACGGTTGGCTTTTTATTTAACTTTTACCGTACTGTACAATTTTTTTTAAAACAAAGTCTATTTTTAATCCATACGCAAAATAGTCTTTCGCTTTCTTTGCTGGTCGCCGGTACACACAATACATTCAAATATATTCGTTTGACTAATGACTTTCTATGTGCGAATGCACCAAACCATTGCTGTCGCAAAGTTTTGCATCTGTTTGCCATAATGAATGTTTGTCACACACACAAACGACACATTTGCATTACTTTCTATATTCTTGACAACTGAAGTAATGCGAGTGTCTGTGTGCCCTGTTATAGCCTGTTGTCATGAATACCAAACTATTTAAATTGATTTCAAATGCGGTTTTAGGTCAAACGAGTATTCTTCGACGAGTGGGCACAAGGCAAATTACATCCATAGTGTCATATATTTTTAGAGGCTATTATCATATATACATTTTTTTTATCACACTTAAAATCAAAGTTTCAATGCAATTTACTTTATTTACGATATTCACATTGAAATTATGACAATAAAAAGTGTTAATTAACTGTCAATTGGAGTCTATTAATTAATTGCACGAGATGGTCATTGATTTTAATCAATAAAAATTATTGAAATATTTCGATTTATACTCACTTAAATTGGCGAGCGGTGATTTTGGCGATTTGATGTCATCGATTGTCGCTTTTTCATCTGAATCAAAGCTGCCCTCCTCCGGCTGTGATCGTTTGGTGAGATCCAATTTCAGGACTCGTTTTGTTAGTTCGTCGGCGTCAACCATTCCGTTAGTTTGTTGTTGTTGATTTATCTGACATTCGATGGTATTTTGGCTTACGGCACTATTCGTTAATGCTGGCCGATTGCTATCACAAATTTCAGCTCGAGGCTCAATATTCATATTGGAAACCATGTTTTTTTTTTCCTCTACCTTTTGTGTATTTGTGTATGTGTGTGATTTATATAATTTAATTAAATTTCCTGATTGTTGCTGCCACTTTTTTGTCAGAATACAAGTTGAAAAATCATTCGAATGTAATGCTGGATTTAAACTTGTTTTTTTCTTTTACTTGATCAGCAGGATCCAACTGCAGTTGAAATAATACACTGAGAATCGCCTTTCACTTTGATGTTATTATGAGCAAAATTTTTTTTGCATAAATTATTATTTATTTAATTCGCAAATTGAATTATCGCGATTTATTATTGTTGTTCCGTTGGTTTTTAGAAGGAAGCGATAACTTTATCTCCTAGTTACTTGTGTTTAACTGTGTAATCAAGTGTTTGTTCTTTATTATATTTTGTGATTTTCACTTAAAAGTATTTTGTTCTTGACGATTAACTTTTTTTTTTATTTTTGCTTCTTTTGGTTTTGGTTTGACTCACTTTCTATGCGATAATTCACTGTTGTCCATCACATATTTTAACAAACATCACGAATTTGTTATGATTGAATTGTGAAGAGATTAAAATAAAAACAAAAAATATACGTATTTATGTGATGCAATCGAAATATGGAATAAATAACACGTCATGTAATTTTTTTTTTGTTTTATTCTTGTGTGACACGCTTCTCAATTTCACAAAGATGAAATATAGAGACTAAACACATTTGCAATCGTTCACCGATATTGATAACACGAACTGCTCTGTTATAACAATTCCAGATGCTTCGTTGACGACTATTCTCTCTTCCTCTGTCGTTTGTTCAAATTCTATTTTCAAATAACCAATTTGTGTTTGTTTGTGTATTCTTTTTTGTTCTTGTTTTATTGTGTACAAACAGTTCACCTTTTAAAAGCAGACAAATAATGGGACAAACGATTGAAATTCTTCAACATTCAAACAAAATTTAAAATTCAAATACTAGAAAATCTAGCCGCCACAAACACAATTTCGATGTTGATGTCGTCGTTTTTTTTGCACACTGTCAATCTATAATAATGCGCATATTATTTGAATATAGCTTTTGTAACGTTACTAAATGGGTTTTTTCAGTTCTTTTTTTCTCTCTTCGCTCGTTTTTAAATTTTTCGGAACATGCGACGAAATAATATTATGTCTTTTTAACTGAATTTTAATACACGACACCAAAATGATCGTCCACCTTTTTGTTCGCACGATTCAAACCCCCAAGTCTTTCTTTCTGAACAAATTGATAAGCTATTTGCTTCACATTTCTATGTAATCCAATAAATAGTACTTTAATTAACTTTTTTTCAGTTTCAATGTTGTGTCACATGTAGAATAATTCACTTCGAATTATTATCAAATAAAAGAAAATCCGTCTTTTTCGTTGAACGTGGAAAAGGCGTTTAAAACAACGGCGATTCGCGCGACAAATAAAAAAAACCCGCGTACTCACAGTGATGGCGCTTAAATTTATACTAAATAACAGATTAAAAAGCACAACAACAAAATATTACACAGCGTCGCGTTAGCGTCCGCATGCGACAACAACCGAAATCAGACGAAAAAAAAAGAAACAAATGAAGAGAAACAACGACGTTGACACACAAACAAAAAAAAGAGTATAAAATAAATAACAACAACGAACTGCACAGAATACTAGATCCGAAGTTTTATTGAGATACGCAGAAACATATATAGCAGAAATGGGTTTGGTTCTTTTTTTTTATTTTATTAAAATGTGAAACCCCAATCGAATTTCGGTTCACCAATTGTGGGGCATTTAATTTCTTAAAATTGTTTGTTTTCGATTACATACGAAATTGAAAAACAAATGAGCCTTTCTGATGCAACTTTCAATTGGAGCATACGTAAACATCCACGAATATATTGTTTTTTTTTTCTTCAGTAATCGACACCAATTGATTTAATGGTGGCAATGGCCTTGATCAAGTTCATCTGGTTTTTGGCTGTGAACTTGGTGATTTTTTACACACAAAACAATTTGTGGACTGACGATAAAATTCGAACACGATTCACTTTTAATTACTTCATTTAAAAATGTGTCTGTAAAATTTATTCAATTTATGTTCGTACTGACACGATCAACGAACTGGCTGAGAATTTAACGAACAATAAGTAGAACATGTATCAAATTATATTGGGTGTGTAATGATGAGATTGTTGTCATTGAATTGAAATTCCTGTAGTTGTGTAGGATGTTGTGATGTGGTTGGATGTTCGGATTGTTTTCGAATGCACGAATGTGGTACAGTAAAAAGAATTGGTGTTGTTGGCGGTATTAGTTGTTCGCTGGAGAAATCGCTTAAAATAATTTGCGGAAGTGATTGTTGCTGCTGATTTACATCTGATACGTCAAACGAACAGTTAAATGCTTCAATTAAATCATTCACTATATCCCCGTTTGATGTTGCAATTGTTGATTGTACTGCGCCAGCAATGCTTTGTCGGTTACTCAATGGTATTGGATGGCGTGTGTTGTTTTCGTCAAACCAATGCTGATGGTGATAGTTATTATTTTCGGTGATTATTTGCGGTGACGGTGGTGGCACTTGTTGACCGCCCAAACTTTGAAGTTCTCGATGAAATGTTAAATTATTGTTCGGATAATTGTACTGAATTGTCTGACTCGATAATTGAAGGTTTTGTTGAAAATGATCTGCGTCGATCGCAGCTGAGTTCATATTATTTTTAGCATTCGATGCGATAAATTGTTTTGTTTCAATTGGTTGACGGTCAATTGGCAATGTAGTAAAGTTATCCTCAATTGGCCAATGATGATTGTAATGGTGTGGTGATGGTTCGCCGTATGTGTGAAATGATAAACGTTTTTTGCAATAAATTCGATTTTTGTCGCCGTTATTTAATTGAGATAGGCAACATTCATTCGGACTTTTATCACTAAATGAATAATTCGGATGGTTTGCCGCCAATTTAATTGATTTTGACAATAAAGACGACGATGAGCACCGATGAAGTGCTGGTAACAAACTAACCGGACGGCCAATTTGTGTTGGTGTCGACGGTAGCACACGAGACGATATCAAAGCCGATGTTGGTAGTCGTAAAATTGACGGTTGCACTACTTGTGCGGGTTTCTTTTGAAGTACACTCGGATGTTTTGAACACTCGTCAAGGTGATTTACATGCGACTGGAACCCATTTCGATAACAATTTGAAGCCAATTCAATGTACCATTCAGTTTTGAAATTGGTGTCGATATGTTTGTAGTTGCTGTTTATGCAATTGCGATTATCGTCATTTAGTGAGCTGCTATAGGTTTTCTTTGGCTGACTATAATTACAATTTGGTGGTGCTGGTGGTGTTTTCGAGTCGATTCTACGAATTTCAACGTGTGACTGATTCGTTGTTGTACACGTTTGCTTTTCACTCCTTCGATTTATTCGTCGACACGTTTGCGCCTTGTGCCGTCGTTGTAGCAATGATTGTTCCAATGGCCGACACCCCACCGATTCCACTGACTTGAAATTTTCTTTTGCTTGATTTTTGCGATTTATCGTTGTTTGTTCAACTGCAAACGAATTTTTGCAGACCTTTTCAAACAAACAATTTATCAATGTGGTTATCGATTCAGCGGTCTTTGGATTCGGTTCAACTATTTGAGCGGCTGTAATATCATTTGGTCGATTTATATTACACAACGTTTGACGTCCTTTTCGCACATTAAGTGTTGTCGGCTGTTGCGTAATTGCTCTGCAATGAAATTGGAAAATAGAGTAGACAATTAAAATGAGCGTTTTGACAATGAACAACATCAACGACGATGACGACGACGATGTTGTTTTTTTTTTGGCGATAACAACAAAACATTAAATACACATGCATTGTGTAGCATAACAGGGACATAAAATACCGAAACGAATTCCCCACACACACATTTTCCATTCTTCAAATGTGTACCATTAAGTCAAAGCACCCATTTATATATCTTAGAAAGATAAATCCAAGCATTCAATTACATGCCGCATTGTTTTTGTTGCTTTTATTGCACTATCTCTAACTTTTTTAATAGAATCATGAAATCCCACGCAAAACCATATTGAAGCACATGAATGCGAATCGAGTTGATTCGATTCGAATACACATACATACACACACGTACATAGTGTCAGCCAAGGCATTTGAACAATTTTAAGAATTTGCAGTCAACGACACTATAGTCTAACGATTACAACTGCCAGCCTGGCCCAAATCAATATCTATGTGGGAAAAAAAACAACACTTTCTCTGTGTCCCGTTCAGTTCAAGCCATTCTTCAGGTCGATTTTCCACCGATGTCGCATGTGTCGTTCAGTGAAAGTGACACTGTTTTTGATTGTGTATTATATTCATAAAGGCGTGAGCCGAAAAACCCCATATGATTCATGATAATTGCCTTGGCCATTTAAATGCAATGAAAATGTAACGGATTTGCCTGTCGCTCATAAAATTAAATGATGTGATCTCCAGTGTTCGTAGCGCATCTCGGTCGGCATATAAAAATAAAAATGATGGGAAAATTAATTTGGCGCCGAGCGTGTGAGACACCACAAAATATCATTAAAAATTGGGCTGACCGAATAAAAGTGGCTACGGATGCGATGCACATTTATTCCATTAATATTCCGTATGTTTGGTGGAAAAGGCGTCGAAAATTCGATTTGAAATTCATACCTTGGAAATGTAAATGAGGGAATTTGTAAAACTTCACGCGAATTCAACAAGAATGGACGTCGATGTGTCGTTCTTCGTCGATTGACGATTGCTCTTGCTGTCGCAGCAAGTCTTGAGTTTGGATTTCTTTTTCGTAAGCGATGCAGTGCAGTAGCCAGTGAACGTCTGGCCTTGATACGTTTTTTTCCCGCTTTTCGACGCTTTGCATCTCGATAGTGATTGGCGATTTCGTGTTTCACTTCATGCAAACAAACTGGCCGAAATAGCTGTTTGATTCGTTGACTGTGTCTCATAATGATGTCAGTTTGCATTGTACTGATCGATGTGCTTGTTTTGTCATCGGTTTTAATGGTTCGTTTCTTGTTATGATATGCAATCGATTTTCCGAAGAGAAAAAGTGTGGGCGACGAGGACAATTCGCATGCATTTTTCTTCATATTTTATTCACAAATTTTGCTTTTTTCGCTTCTTTTTCTTTTACGGTTGATCCAATTTCGGTTACATTATACTCATACCAATTTTACTTTCTATTTTTCATTTTCTTCTTTTTTTGTACAGAGAAAACTTCTACACTAGGGCACACTTTTTTGTTAATTTTTAATGGAATCCGTTGTTCTCATTGTTTGATAACTTTGATATATAGTCTCACTGAAACAAGAGACATGCTTCCAATTCACAAACTTACACAACCGCTCAAGCCAACGAAATGAACAGCATTCACAGTAATGTGAATCACAGAAGATATATGCCATGATTAAATGCTTGAGTTTCGAATTTGACAATGTATATTCTGATCGAATTGGGACTTGTTCGATATGGAAAAAATTGCAAACAATTGTAAAGAATACATTCAAGCGTTTTATATCTTATCGGGTTTTTTTGCTGAAAGAATTTCAATCTCAATGTTTTGTTCAACTCTTCATTTGGTGCCATTCCATTTTGACGATCTAAACGACCATATCAAAATTATGATAAAAACCTAGTTTTTGGTCTTTGTCAACGTATTATATCATTTGTTTCGTCGAATTTTTGACTTCATGGATAAAACCAATTTGTATTCGCGATAAGCACGCAAAACCCGCATGATTAATAGTACCATTTCATTTTGCTTTTCAATTTTGGGTTTGGATAGGAATAATCCAGCGAATTTGAAAATGTTCTGCGGATTATTATTAAATTCGACGAACCAACTATTTAATTTGGTGAAAATGTTATGTGAAAA